GAAAAAAAGACTTCAAGATACTGTATTGGCTTCAATGGGAACAGGATATAAATAAATCGCAACTGCTTGTAAAGATGCAGACTTCCTCCTAAGAATTTGTTTTGATTTGTAAAGCGAGGGGGAACATTCGTCACTTGAGTGAAATTCTGTATTAGAAACTAAACCCTGTAATGAAATTGACTGCTAGTTTGTAAATATTTCCTGTTTGTAAATAGTCCTGCTGGCAAAATTTGTCCTAAATGACTATTGTATAAAAGGAACAAAAAGTTAACTGCAGATCCACCTGCAACTGAGAGAAGCATTCAAGACAACTATCCTTGAGCGAGATTTGTTTCGTAACACTTATGTGATGTACAGGAAACTACAGCAATCTCTCATTACTACTGGTTGTGTTCTTGCTGCAAAGTTAACCTGCAGAAATAGGAACAGAAGTTTCAATTCCCCCAGCTTACTCATGCAGTCCTTGTAGCAAACAAACTTTCATTAGGCATTCTTGTGACCTTATATTATAGCTGTTCATTTCTTTGCACCACCAAAAAAAAGTAGAGAGGGAAGAAAGAGCCATGCTTCAACAGAATCCCTTCGTTAGGCGAAAAAAAAAGAAAAAAAGGGCACTTGCTGTTTTTCAGTAAGAACTGAAAAAAGACATAGGTTACTGTTACAGCTGTAGATTTCGTGTTAAAGTCAGAAAGCTGTAGAAAGCAAAAATGACAGTTGCTGCATGGGTAAAATGCTACACTAGGCATTTAAAACGCATTATAATAACAGCTTTTGCATAAGACTCACTGACATCTGAGAATGTCATATCCGGTAGCAAATGAAAACTTGCAAATCTCCATTAGGTTGGTAGTTGCTATTGTTCCCATTGTGAAGATGGCTAAATTGAGATGTAGTGAGTGTAGCAAACTGCTACTCACCACAGGGTATGTGTGGCAGAAGGCAGTTCATACTTTACATTCAAAATAATGAACGACAAAATTACACTTCTAAGGAAATACAGTAGATCCGTCTGACTTCCACTGACAAGCCTACTTTCTCTGCCATATGCACAATCAATTAATGAAGATGAATACTTCAGGTCATGGTGAAAATACAGTGGAACATTTTACTCTCTGGGACAATCCTGCTCACAAACATACATACTTTAAATACGGAGTTTTCTTCTGTGAGCATAGTACCAACAAATCTCCTAACTGTATCCATCATGTCTTGAAATGCCTGCGATTTACGTAGGGTCCAGTTTTTGTACCACCACTCCATGTGGGTAGCAAAACAGGCTCAGATACACAAAGGTCTCAAGGTCCTTAACTCCACTGTTTTCTTGGCTTTCTCCTCACACAGTCCCACGCATTTCAATAGGATGGCCTCAAGGAGTAAAATATTGTCACACATCTTGGCAGAACCAGAGCCAAAGAGAGTAAGGAGAGAGAATTGTGTTTGTTAGATCCAAAAATCTGTAAGCATCTGGTTTTATCACAAAATTATTATAAAGCTGACAGCGGTAACTGTTATTGTCAGAGCTGACTGCTTAGCCATTATTTCAGCCTTTGCACTTGTTTTAGTGTCTGTCTTGTAATTTATTGAGAAATTTCTTTCTCTTTCCTCTGAAGTGTCTGCCTGTGTGCTTACCACCAGAGCCAGGAACACTTCACTGTATGCACTAGTGATCTGTTCCAAGGCTGGCTGCAGCTGCCCTGTGCCGCTTGATGGAAGGGTACAGCGGGGTTGGAAATGGCACAGCTTTGTCATGCTTTGTCGTGCCACGGAGCATGGCCAGAAATGTGCACACCACGGTATACAGCACCTATAGGTAAAGGGGCCAACTGCCCACTAAAAAATCCCGTCCCCTCCTTTTTGGAAACCCAAGCATAGTCTGATCTAGGCTGATGCTCCTGGGGTTTTGTTGCAGTTCAAGCTATGAGAATACAGCTCTGAGAGAAGCAGTAGTTCATGTTCTCCCTGACTCTTTAGTCTCTTTAGAAATATCCAAAAATGTTACTTAATAGCTTTTTATATAAAGCTTCAAGCATCGCTTTGTTGACTTCTGTGGATATGAAGGGTAAATTATTGGTATAATGTACTTTTAAATCTGTACTTATACAGGCCAAAAACTTTCTCTCTTTCTCTCTCCCTCTGTAATAAAATAGCATTTCTGCTACAACGTCTCCCTTTCATAAATGTGCCACTTTCCTAATGCCTTGCCAAACTACTGCTTTTTCCTTTTTTCCTTTTATGCATATAAGTGGAAGCTGCTGTATGCAATGATTAACAACTGTGTCTGGAATATATCTACAGCTTTTATATGTATCATATTTCTGTCTAGGCCCTGATTCTGCAGACCTTTATGCTTAACTTCACACAGCATGAATCTGTGACTTTCATTCTCACTTTAAAATGTATAACAAAAATGAAATTATCACTTGAGTAACTCATTGCTTTCTTGAATGTATTTGTTACCAAGCTTCATAGAAATATTTAAACAACATTTAAACAACAAGCTATTTAAACAACCTGCTAACTTACTGAATTCTAATTTCCTTACACTCACATGAAGTAAAACTTTAAAAAATTATACATCCATAAAAATGTGTTTGTAATTTAATCTTTCTGACACGCATTACATGAATGATCATTTAAATGAGCCATACTTCCAAGACAACTTTCAGATCTGAGTGATATCCAAAGTGAGTGAAATCAGTACTTCAGATGCAGTAATGCGCTCATCACTCATGATGGAATGAGCACTCTTGGCAGGAAACTATGCTTAATATGAATAAACAAGTCACACCTAGATTTGTATTCAGCAATTTCTTGCACAACTGAAGAGAGGGAAACAGAAAGCCGTGATGGCTGAAATGCTGGTTTTAAGACCAGTCAAATATAATCTGCAACAGCTACACTTCTGAATAAGATTACCAGTACTTAACAGCACTGAGAGTTCCTCCTGTTTGATCAAATGGCTATAACAAATCTTTATCTCGTAACACTATTTCCATATTTGTAAAGTTCCATTAAAGGTGAAGATGATTCTTTCTCTGTATTAACAAAACTAAACTTGTCCCAGATTCTCAGGCTAATTCTAACAGGGTACTACAGTTTCTTTTCCTTACCTAATAATGCTTTTTAAATCATTAGCTCTTCTCACATTCACTGATTATAATAGAGTAGGATGTAGCAAGTGTGAAATTTTGTACTAAATTAAGGAAGAGAATCATGTTTAATGTTTTATATTTTTACTACGGAAACCTACAAAGCAGCAGATAATTCCAGTCTTCTAATTTATCATGTTTAAACACTTTTGCATTGCTTCAAACAAAGAAATACACACAGATCATGGCCTCTCCTGTGTTGGAACTTGCACTTGAATACTTGAGTACTGTAAGGCCTTGTACAATGTCTAATGAAGGGTGTGAAGAGAAAGTTGCATAGTCTGTTGCTGAGCACAAGTAACATACATTCTCTTACATGGTTATCACATCCACACAGGGGAAGATAAAGTAACTTTTCCAGGTACCAGAGAATCACAGAATGGTTTGGGTTGGAAGGAACCTTTAAAGATCCTAGTCCAATCCCGTTGCCATGGGCAGGGACATCTTTCACTAGATCAGGTTGCTCAAAGCCCTGTCCAACCTGGCCTTGAACACTTCCAATGATGGGGCAACCACAACTTCTCTGGACACCTGTTCCAGTGTCTCACCGCCCTCATCATAAAAAATTTCTTCCTTATATTCAATCTAAATCTACTCTCTTTCAGTTTAAAACCATTGTCCCTTGTCCTGTCACTACAGGCCCTGGTAAAGTCTTTCTTCATCTTTCTTATAAGCCCCCTTTATATATTGAAAGGCCGCAATAAGGCCTCCCCAGCGCCTTCTCTTCTCCAGGCTGAACAACCCCAACTCTCTCAGCCTTTCCTCATAGGAGACGTGTTCCAGTCCTTATTCCATGTTAAAATACATTCCATCTGAAAGCTCTACCTCAATTCCCTATGTTCCTGAGTTCTTAAAATGGTTTGGTCTGGGAAATAAATTATATCCGGTGGCCTACATGAGTCCTTTGAATAGTCATTCAATTTTTAAAAAAAATTATTTGCCTATACAGAAGAAATTATAAACTTGGTGTGAAAGACTGCATGTGCAAGTATGTGAGTGCACTGGTAAGTTTAGGAGATGATAACAGCAAAGAGCTGGCTGATTATATCTTTAATATACTTCAGCAATTCTTCTAACCTGATAATAAACATGAGCACATTATTAGAATAATATAGAACATTGCATCAATGTAGACAGTGGACATAAACTCTTCCATTTATACCCAACAGAAAATTAATTCTTCATGTTTATACCTCTCTTAGAGATCAATATTCATTGCCATCGTCTTTCTGTGCATCTCAGATGTAACACACAGCAGATGTTTATACAAATATAGAAAGAGAGCATAGTTAGGCATACAGTTATATTTACTCTCTCTCTCTATGTATTTCAGAAATTATTTCTGTATGTATAAAATAACAGTTTTATAAAGATGGCTATCTATGAAGTAATAAATTGGTATGTATCCCTTGTGTTTCTTTTTCCTGTTATTAAATATCTCTCTCTGTTTAGTTTCTTTCCACCATTCTTCTCCATTCCCCGTCATGTTCCTCCAATTTTCCTTTAGTGTGGCATGTCCTTAAAATTTTTTGAGTTTGTTTTTGTTCCTACCTTCTACTGTAGCAGGCCTGGAGAATTCTGTCTGCCTCTACTCACCATCTGCAGCGGGGGATTATGGCTATAATAATCCCAAATAATTCTTCCCTCTTCCTCCAAACCTGTACCACAATGGCCTGACACATCTTCTCCACTCGTCTTTCAAACTTTTATTGGCTTAGTTGGGAAGTCCATGGACCATGACTTCTGTTCCTGGCCCAGATATTTATTTTTCCTGAGCTAATGACCTGCATTAAAAGTCAAATTGGTTACTGGCATTTTATGGTTCTTCATGAAGAAGGCAAGAGTACTTACAGTTTTACTCCAGGTGAGACCTGTGGTATGATGCTCTTTGATATAAGCTTGAAGGTCAGACCAGATGTTCAGATATGACTTCACCCAATCAACATGGCGTGTGTCACTGTAAAAACAGAGACAATATTTCTATGTGTGAATGTACTTAAAAACAGAAAGCATTGCTACTCTTGCTTAAAGCAGGTAAAACCCACTGTCTGCCTTAAAGCCATGGACAAATCAGTTAGTTAGCAGGCAGCCAGCCAGCCCAGTGCTGAGAATACCGAGGCCTACTACACTGGAAAGCTTTTAGATCCTTCCGGAGGACAAACAAGGGCAAGAGATGCCTCTAGCGCGGCGTGCTTCCTGCTGGAAGGGTGTGCCGCCATTCTGCTCAGGCTCTAAGTCAACTGGAGAAGCACTAAAGGTATATGGAGCTGTGCAGCAGCTACCCAGACTCAATCTTAGGGTGCTGAATTTTAGAAAATTAAATATCCGTGGGTTCTGTAAGATATTCTAGCTTCCAAGTTCAAATGTAGCCAGGGTAATACTGGATCATGTTATGATCATCAGACTGAAGTATTTATACATCAAGAATTTTTAAAGTACAAGTCACAAGTTGGCTATAGAATCATTATTTGGAAGGCTTAGTCTTCCAGTGGGACAGTAATTGAAAACAAGAAATATGTATATATAGAGAAACTGCTTGTAAGATGGAGTCCTTCATTATGAATAATTATTAAAGAATAGTGATGGCTATGGACTGGATGCTTACAAGGATTTGGCTGTCTACCTCCTATTTATTTCCTTTGGAGTTTGATGCTTAATACTGCTGAGGATCTGGGTCAACAGGTTTAATCCAAAGCCTATTGAAGTCAAGGGAGAGCCTCCCACTACTTTGGAAGACGTTGTGATCTGACTGAGTAAAAAACAGGAAAAGAATTCCTTTCTAGGGGAAGAATGAAATACCTAAATAATGTACCCTGTTTATACCGGTATGTGAGACATTTTCTTCTCCAGAGTAAGTACTAAAGCTATATTGTAAAACTCTTCCGTTACTCCAGTAGGTACTACCTTCAGTAGGTAAACTAAGGCTTCAGGAATAATACATAATATATATAATATTAAATATTATATATAATCTATAATATGTATTTATACATATACAATAAATAGAAATATATAGAAAAGGTTTTTATATAGATAAAGTTTTCCTCAATAAAGCGGAAAAACTCAATAGCAAATACTATTCTTCACTGGGATATAAAAATTAAGAGCAAAAATCTGACCTCCAAAAATACCAAATCAACAGGATTTATACATGTCTTTTTTAGGAGGGCATAGAAAGGACCTCTATTTTTTCTCCTTCTCTGTCAGCTCACAGATCTCATTCATGGAACTTTTTTGTGAATTCCTTGTGCTCTTTAAGAACAATAGAGTGGTACAGAAAAAAAATCAAATTGGGTGCTATGGAATTAGATGATCAGTTGTATACATTACCACCTAAATGCACATTTTCAAGCGAAGAGTGAGAACAGCAACAGTATGCGTGCACAAATGAGACAAGGATGCATAGCAGCTAGCTAGCCACATGTTGATATGTAAATACGCATTTGCGTATAAGCTTATGATGCTGGAATGCCAGAAAATTAAATATAATCCTATAACTTGCAGAGAGTGAAAACCAGCACTGCTAGTGCTGCTGCTGTTCTCACTGCAACATGCTGCAGGTCAAAGATGAGGAGGGGAAAATATACTACCGTAAGCAGATTTTATCAAATGCTTTTTAGTTTACAAAATGCTTTCCGTGATGACATTGTGAACCCTATTGGTATGGTTAATGCTCTGTTCTCTGGCTAGTAGATACTGGGGCTTGGCAACATACCTGTGCTTGTAGTCCTTTAATACCCTGTTAGTATAAAAGGTAGCAGCATCATTCATCTCCTTGACATAAGGGCCTGGTTTAGGAGACTAGGACCATCAACCCATGGTAGCAGGAAACAACAGGAGAAAGGAAGTAAAACATTAGTCAGACACCTTCCCTGATGTATTAGGTATATTACAAGACACCTTCTTGGGTGTAGCAGACTGAAGAACCACGCAGATGAGACTGCAGAGTTCTGCAAGATTTGGAACTACTCTGGGCTACACCATCCAGGAGCACACTTACAGCCCTCCCAGCCATCCTGTGTGTCACTCACCACTGCTATCCACCCAAGGGCAGGTATGCTTTCACTGACGGCTGAGAGGTGGTTGAACATTGTACTTCCTCTGTTCCTTTCTCTGAAGTTCTGGATTTCCTGAATCTTCTCTGATATTGGCTTGAGAAGCATTGCCACCTCATTCTGAAAAACAAACAAAAAACAGAAAAGACGACACTGCTGTTACAATGGGTAGTCCAAAAACACCCTGTGGTTTAACATTGTCCTCCCTGCCCATTGATTTAACAGTTGGAAAGAAAGGTCAGCATATTCTCTACATTAAAGTAACAATTTAATTACCCTCCTCTGGTTGCAGCGGCAAACTGCACAGACATTAAGTATTAATAATGTGTTGCAGCAAAAATTGTTCTCAGCACTGGCAGCATTTTTACATGCTGCCCAGGTTAAGACTCATAGAGACCCCACAGCTCAGAGTTAGCAGAATGCTTGTATTTTTCATCCGACATCCCTGGAACTTTTTGAGACTCTTTATATTGGCTTGAGCTTTTCAAGTTGCCAACCAAGGTGTTCTTTCTATAAGAAACACAAACTACTGGTTAGGTTAGTGGCCTCTTGTCATCTGGCAACAAGACTGAGAAAGTAATACGCTGAAGGCAATATCAATTTTAGCTTTCCCTATTGGTATGTTTTAATGTTTTAATTTCCTTTGGCTGCAAGTAATGTGGGAGGATTTCATGGGAAACATACTGCCTGCAAGCCATGGTTTAGGGAAATTCTCCTATGTTAATCAGAAACGAATGGTATCCAGGGGAATGACTATTGAGCGGAAGAAATAGTGTCTGGAGTGAAGAGAAAAGCAGAATGAATGTAGAAGCTATCCAAGCTCTTTCCTGTGCAAAGTGAATGCTAATCACACTGGCCCAGTGTCTCAGAAAAACTAATTTAGAGCACTAACTTACTGGGAAAAATTCTTCCACTCAGAAACAGCACATTGAGGGACAAGGAGTCATTAGTTTACAAGCAAAACAACTGCTGTACCTTGCAACCCTATAAAATGTTTCTATAAAAACAGTCCAATTCTTTATTGCAAAAGTAGGCCCGCAGAACCCATACTATGGCCCACCAAAGAGAGTGCACCATTCTGATTTTCCCTGGCACTTCACTTGGAAATCACTCAGGATGTAGCGGAACTCTGTATTTTTTCTCACCTTTCCTCAGGACTACTTGTGTAATGGAATTAAGGGCTTGCTGGGGACAACTAATCATCATATTCTTGAAGACTAATGCTGTCATGACACACACAAGACAATGTGTACATACGTCTTGCTTGATCTCCGTTGTCTGTAAGATACTTCTTTTCACCCTGTCACAAGACTTCAGCTTTCCAGAATTTTATGTCACCTTAAAATAAGCATGTCTGCTATGGATCAACATAGGTCAAAAGACACTCCAAAAAACATGACAAAAAGAGGTCCTGCATTTTTAAAAGAATTTTGATCCAGCTACGGAGCCTTAATATTTTAGTGGTAATGTAATTTTGAGAAAGGCCTATGCATCTGAAATGCACGGGGCTATTTGGTCTTCTCCTACAACAAAGTGGGCTGGGAGAAAACAAATATTTACAGTATTACTGGGAGATGAAAAGATTTTTTGTTGATGGCTTAATGACCAGCATAAGTCATTAAGTCTGAAAAAGCCCTGAAACCTCCATGATTTGTAGTTCTTAAAAACTGATTTTGTTGCCATAACATGATAAAGTCTGCAGGAATTATTCTTTCTAATTTTTGCTTGTTGACAACATGCTGCAGCTGGTTGGTTCTTTCTTATTTTGCAGGGAAATCTTTCAAGTATGACAGTAGTTAACAAAACTGAAATTTAAGAAAGTGCTTGTTCTGCTTTGATATTATGCCAGTTTTCCTCCCATAAAGTCTAAGGGACATTTACAGTCCTTAGCTTACTGTGAATCTTCATGGCCCAGTTCCAGCCAAAAAGAACATCAGGGCTAAAAATACAGCTCCACAGATGCCTGGTGTATCTAGACAGCACTGGGAGGCAGCACGTTTCTGTGGATAGGGCACAGAAGTGGGAGTCCATAAATGGGGGTTCTCTTTGCAGCTCTCCCACCAAATTATCGTCAGGTTTCAGGAAAGCTGAGTTACCTTTCTGTGCTTCAACTTCCTATATATGAAATGATGCTAATATAGCTGTTTTATTTTGTAGAACACTTTGATAACTACAGATACGGCAGCAAAATTAGGGCCAAACGTTTTTCTGAATGGTACCATAAGACCCACACCTCCTCCTACTCCTACTAGAAAAACTCCCAGCCACTTTTGTGAGGGTTTTCTATCAGTGGTACAGACAGAATTTCTGCCCTTAGAATACAGGACTTAACCTGTCCAGTGAATCAACCATTTATAAAAATGTAGTGGATTTATCTAATTTCACAGAAAAAGTGCCCCGTGGGAGTTTTAAAGGTGAAATACATATTGCTAAGGAAAGTAGCTCAAAGTAATCATTCACTTGGCACTGTGGTGACACCAGAAAGAACCACAAAGGGCTTGAGGCTTTGCTCCGCTCTGTCCCACGTGAGATGCACTGGGAGAACGGTGCAGCCTGCCGTCCCCTCACTGTGCACTCGTCCTGTTCTGCAATGGCTGCTGCCTGCCTGCCTGCCTGCCTGCCTGCCTGCCTGCACCAAATGGGCACGGGTGTGTTTGTGCAAGCTTCTTGTGATCCAAATTTCTGTGTAAGGGTTGGACACAAAGGAATACCAGTCTGCAAGGAATCACTTAATTGAGTCCTGTCTCCCCACAGTCAGTCCTAAGTTTTTAGTTAGTGATTAAACTGCAGATGAATTATAGTGTATATGGCATACGGGTATAGAAAGGCTCATTAATCCTGGCAGTAATCAGTCTTGTTTGGCTCTACAATGCAGAACCGGTTGTGCTGAGGGTTCTAAAAGAATAATCTCTTTATTGCAATGAATATTAAAACAGCTGGTTGTTAATAAAATGATTGTCTATACTGTATCTCTAAGAAAAAATGAATTCAAGGAGATGAGTCAGAGCTGTTGGAAAAATCTTCAGCATGCCTTTGGCATGTGCTAGATAAAATTTCTTGTCATTTAAGACACAGCACAGTTGTTTAACAGAAATTTAAGAGTCTTTGTATAAACACCGTTCCTATTATAATATCAGTTTTGCTGAAATGTTTAAATATGCAAGAGTGGCACAACTTAGAAATATCAAAAGTAATTCCCAGTATGCCTTTGTCATTTTTTAATAATTATTAAAACCAGATGGTCTTTTCAAATATTAATACCTAAACAACCAGCCAGCTTTCATCCATGTCTTATAATACTTCTTAGAAAATCAAGAGTAGTAAGACTACCGCAGTAATTGGCCAAAACACTCCAAAAAAGTTACAGCATGCAACAAGAACTGCCTTAGGCTTTGGCTTCGGAGACTTAACCGTCTCAGCCCAGTCTCATAAACTGGCCTGGCATACCAGTATTCCAACAGACCGCACCAAACAGGCTTTCTTCTCCTTCACATTTTTGTAATACTCACACGAGAAGTCCCCCACATGACAGGTTTAACAGGACTGGGGCACATGGATTCAATTCAGAAGAATGGCCAAACTTTTGAGTTTTGTGATTTTTGAGATTTGCCTGTGAAGTCACACTCAATTGGGTGGCTTGCTTAAACTGTGGCTGCTTGAGCCAGTGATTACTTGAAAGTCTCAGCTTCCATTTGAGAAAACTTGTATTTCCTCAGGACCATTGCTGTCCAGAAACCTGCTAGCATGAATCACAAAGGCGCAAAACCCAGCAGGTAAATAAAAATACAGTTTTTAAAGATCTTATGTATTTTTAAGCTAATCTTACATGGTTTTGAGGGGTGAGATTGTTTACTGAAGAATTTTTATGTTGATGGGTGGCAATACCATTCAGACCTCACTGTTATAGTGTTTAAATCAACCTGACCTATTATGAAAAAACCATGGCAAGGGAACAAACACGCTTTTAAGTTATGCTGACTGAGGGGGTGGCAACCTTTGGTGTAGGAGCAGTAAAAGAAAGCTGAGAGCATTTGGGATCAGCAGCCCCTTCATTTTACTCAGCTGCAACCAGAACAGCATGACTACAACCTTTATTCCATGGTCTACAGTTCTGTTATTTTCTTCTGTCAGTTCAAAATCTCCATCATACTTACATTGTATTTTTCACAGGCAAGTTTGAAACATGGAGCTGATTTGAATCAGCTCTCTTTGTATATGTTGGCAAGTAGCGCAGCCTGATAGGAATGGTTCTGTAGAGAAAAACAGTTGGTGCTGAGGACCTGACGTTCACTTTATACCTCTTCGGGGGGGGCAGGCATTTTGGACTAGCTGTAAATCGTGGTTTAGGTGCTGTGTGGGAGTGTATCTTCCATGTAACTTCATCAGAAAGATAACCATTTTGTACACCCTAAGACTGTTCTACAGCGTGAATCACAGCATAGTAAATGGGGCTGATTTGAAGGAAAAATATAGTCCTACTGTGAACTAAAACACTAATGCAGACACAGCCATTATCTCTGCAAACAGCCTAGTACAGTCCCATCCCACATTTCATCCCTTCAAGGGATGAAAGATGTCATGGATAGCGTCTGCCACCTCAGTGCTAACAATTTAAAAGGTGAGCATCTGCTCTCAGCTGAGACTTGATTCCCTCTATTGTAAACGAAGAAAGAGATGTCCCTGAGGAATTCTTTCCGCCTATGAGTAGATGTTAGAAGACTATATATTAGAAGACATTAATAGATGTGAAGACTGCACTCTAGAGGTGCTGCCATTTACTGTAAAGAGAGCCTAGAAAGACACCTGACACAACATGCCCACCTTGACAGTTAAAGCTGATGAGCAGAATCCCATCCTCTGTCTATGGGAATAAGATACTGGTAGCTTCAGTGATGACCAGTGAGATGCATTTCTGCTATGAGTGGCTATGATTCTAGATCTAAAATAGTTTTAGATTAACTGTAATTTCCCGTATTTTGTATTTTGTAAAAGGCAATCTGTAAAGAAGACTTTAAAATTTAACCTAGTCCTTTTTTTGTATATATGTGGTTTAAGAAAGGCCTGTCTTTTTTGTTGTAGCTGTGTATCAGCAGTCTGAATGGAATCAGTGTTCAGATTAG